ATAACCTATATTCCATTGTCATCTAGTGACAATAATTTAACTTATTTTGTAAGATAACCTATATTCCATTATGTGTGCCTATGAAGATGGGAACAAGCTTTTGCATGAAATAAAATAATTTACAAATAATTTGGTCGAGAGTAAAACAGGCTCAGAAATTAAGAAATATATCAAGTTATTTCGTCTTTTCCCGATGTCCTTCTCGCACGTTTACTATTTTTAATAAACACGTTTCTGTCGTTGAAATAATTCAGCGTCGCGTCGAAAATCTCACTCGAGGAAAAAGTTTGGCTGCAAAGTATAATTTTTTACAACGTAACAACACCGTCTCGAGTAATGACGTAAACAGCGTGATGATTGTCAGAGGTGGAGATTATTGATTCTACGAATCAACGGACAGACAGACAGACAGACAGACAGACAAACAGACAGACATGCAAGAGTGGAAAATACGTAGGAGATTGCAACGAAGCGCAAAGCTTCGTCCGAGGAGACTGCGAAAGAAAGAAACATTGAAGAAAAGACGAGAAGAGAGAAATGTCGCGAGTATCGTGCCACGATATATATACTTTCTGATATACCGGTGGTGTGGTCCGTGAAACAACGGGAAGTCGCCTCGGTTTTATTCACAGACTTCCTCGTTCGCCCGTTTCCGCTCGTGAACCAAGTTCGTCCCATCCTCTTGATTGAGAAATTCCATCCGTCCCCGTTGGGAAACCCGCGAGATCTCTCCTCCAGGCCTTTTCCAACATGTCTCTCTCTCTCTCTCTCTTTCTGTGTGTGTGTGTGTGTGTGTGATGGCGCACTGGAAGAGCCACACAATTTGTCAGATCTCAACTGGTACTCGTCCAACGACTTCGTTTCTCGACTATACTTCCCGTCGCAGTGTTTGAAGAATCGATGAAACTCGTCCGTCTTGAGCGATTAACCCATCGATATTCAGTCGAGTCGACCCATCGAAAACAGCAAGATTTCCCTCTAGATTCTATCCGTGCAAATTCCGTATCTCGCAATTTCCCGGCGCCAGAGAAGTGAAACTTTGCAGAAGATTTGAAAGTTAAAATTATAAAATTTAATTTCCTATGTTTACAAATTTGTTTAAATTACTTATATTTGTGAAATTTACTCGCAGTTCCTCCGCTGTTCGAGGATTGATCGACCACCAAAAAACAAGAAGAAGAAGAAGAAAAAGAAGAAAAACGACGAACGAATTTGAAAATTGAAAAGAAGCAACCGCACGAGATCCACACGGTTCGAAGCGGAGAGGAGAACTGAGGAGAGGTCTCCGGCAGCAGCGGGCGACGAACAATTTTTCGCTTACGTTGGACCGTTTCTTCTCGGGATCGTCTTCGATTTCAGATCGCCAACGTGAATGCAGTGAATGTGTGTACACAGTTTGTCGACAATTTGATTCGCCGAGAGGTTCGTTCTCAAGCGTCGTCAGCGTCATCGGAGCGTCGCGATAAGCGGCCGACAGTAAGCTCAATCTTATCTGCCTGCTCCACACGCACACGCGAGCCTTCCTCTGATACAGTCACGTATATAGAAACATAAAACGAAGCCAAAGGAACGGACGAAAAGAGCGAAGAAAAATCTGAGTAATAAATTATTTTGCATTTGTTGGAGTATTGCGATATTTCCTAACAATAAATAGACTAAATAAATTGACTAAAATTGTCCTTTTTTTCCCCCCTAGAAATTTCAAACGCAGTCGTTCTGTGCAAGTCTCCAGGTTTCGAAAATTTTATTTCGTCGTGTAGAATAAAAAAATTACCATTTCACTTCGAAAACGCTCGAATTTCAATAGGAAGTAATAAAGAATGTCAATAAAACTGCTACGTATTTTATGAAAAAAAAAAAAAAATCACGATAAGGGCCATTTTTCCTCGAAAATAATACCACACTGACTTTCTTAATTTTCTTAATTTTCTTGACTTCTTCAATTCTTCTTGCTCACGAATTTTATCATTCTTTGACAATCTCTAGGTTTTCTTCAGGTACACACCTGACTTTCCCTGTCGAAAGTCTGATATCTCGATCGAGAAATGAACGACGAGGGCGTCACACTGGCTGAATCACTATTGAAATCCAAATGGCGATGTCGAATCGTGCCGTGGAAATTGGTGTGATCGTCCGATCGATTAAATTCCAGCCAGAGCTTGTTGACTCTGCGGCCGAGTGTGTTCATTTGTCCCCGTGAACAGAAACGAGATGAAAGGGAATCGATTCACACGCATGGACACGCAACTAGGCACATTCCCGAAAGCGAGAAGAAGAAACAAGAAGAAGAATCGCGGCAAATTTGCCACCCCTTGTCCGACTAAACGCTCGAAAAACAAGGTAAGTGGTCACCAATTCTGATGGAATTTGTTTTGTGATATAAACGTGTATATTTCACCGTATTATATTGTATTATTTTCGAAGAAACATTTGACACGTGTTTTCTTTTTCTTTTTTTCATTTACTGGCAATCGTCGAATGTTGAAGGGATGAGGAAGGAACTACCCTCAAAGTTGGAGATTTGGTACATAAATATTTCATGAAGTATATCGGAAATTACCGAAGATACAGTTTCGTCAATTGATGTATATCATTTTGTTTAAACAATATATTTTCTTGTAATTTTCTGACGATTTCATCGAGTAAATGTTGATAAATTTCCTTAAATATCCGTTTAACACAAATTACGGATGAATTGGATTCATTGATTTCCGCGTTACTCAAGTCGTTTTCAAATGTTGCGTTGAAAATCATCAGATGAACGAATCTGGTCTACACGAAGATGATCTACAATGCAAGAAATGTTAGAAATCTGTCAATTGACTGAGATTTGCCAAAAATTCAGCAGCCCGTTTAAAGCCGAACCACGCGAATTCTGGAAGCAAACTTGAAACAAAAGCCTTAAAACAAAAGCAACCGAATTGCAGTTTCAGCTAAATGAAACAGTACGAGTGTCGCCTTAATTAATTGCCAAATTAGCTGTATATTACATTTTTACTAATAATATTACAGAGACACGCGCGTGGACTCGCGAGGACTCGCAAACTCGCAGGGCTCGACGATGCTTTTCATACAGTGATGCTTTCATACGAACCATTTTTCTGCCCGAGTTACGCGCCGCTTCGATATTGCGTGTCACGTGTCGCGATAGGAAGCTCCCATACGAGGAGAGACGCGTGAGAACGAGGGACGTCGTTTAATTGCGTCGTGGCGCGTAAACGCGTGTGCGAAAGCGGCGTGGCGCGTATCGCCGCACGCTAATTACCAAGCAAGATATGTACGTGCACGCGCCGCTGCTCCTTTGCAGATGTAACTCGCGCGATAACCGAGCCCATTCGACTCCTTTTGCCGAGGATCACGAATTTCTCAATTCCGAATCCTCGCGACCTATCGGTCTTCTTCACACTTTGAATGAAACAAACGTGAATCGACGCAAACACCGGTTGCAAAGTCCGTGGCTATGGGTAGATGAATTCCTTCCTCACGGATGAAACACCTTCGACTTGATGGGAATACATGTAAAGAGCAAAATTGATCTTGACCTTGAATTTCAAAATTATCTAAAAAAAAAAATTCATTGTATTCTATTCGTCACGAAGGTAAAACTTTTCCAAGGGACCACAGGTCGCAACCTAACAGTTCTCTTGAAAAGTGGCAAAATGGTTTTAGTCATTCTGCAGACGCGTGTTAACAGCGACTTTATGGTTTGGAATACCTGAATGACATATTTTTCACTAACTTTTGATTTATCATAGCATTAATGTGAGTCTAGATAATCAAATGATAAAATTTGCGTGCGTTCTAACAGCGACTTTATAATTCTGGATGCGTGGATGTCTATTTTACGTAATTTTCGTATTAGGTTTCACTAATATTTAATTTATCACAGCATCAATGTGAGTCCAAATAATCGAATGATAAAATTTGCGTGCGTTCTAACAGCGACTTTATAATTCTGGATGCGTGGATGTCTATTTTACGTAATTTTCGTATTAGGTTTCACTAATATTTAATTTATCATAGCATTAATGTGAGTCTAGATAATCAAATGATAAAATTTGCGTGCTAACAGCGACTTTATGATTCTGGATGCGTGGATGTTTACTTTACATAATTTTCGTATTAGGTTTCACTAATATTTCATTTATCACAGCATCAATGTG